CCACTCAGCAGTGTACTTCATCAGTCTGCCTGTTCTGCTCCCCACTCTGTCTCTGGTGAATCCTCTCACCCCTCCTACATCTCTGGCCTGTACCCCAGTTCTGTATGCATAAATAAATAAATCTTTTTTAAAAAGTGGTTCATTGGGCCCTCCCTGGTGGCGCAGCAGGTTAAAGCACAGCACTAAGAAGTTTAAGCCACTTCCGCATGAGTTCGATTCCCGCCTGCCCCGGAGGAGGCCCACTGCTCCCCTCAGCAGTGTACTTCATCGATCTGCCTGTTCTGTACCCCACTCTGTCTCTGGTGAGTCCTCTCACCCTCCGCATCTCTGACCTGTATCCCAGTTCTGTACAAATAAATAAATCTTAAAAAAAAAAAAAAGTGGTTCATGTGGGAAGTTTTTCCATTGTGTATATTTTACCACAAATAAAGGAGAGAAAAAGATAAAATGTGATAATTTGAAATCAAGCCTACAAATTTTGCTTTTCTGAAGGCAGTCTTTTTTTTTAAATAAGATTTATTTATTTATGCATACAAGAACTGGGGTACAGGCCAGAGATGGGGGAGAGTTGATTTACCAGAGACAGAATGAGGAGCAGAATAGGCGGAATAGGAGGACTGACTGAAATACAGCTGAGGGGAGCAGTAGGTGAGACAGGAAAGTTCTGCTGTGCCATGTGGCTCAGCTCCCTGGCTGGGGAACTAACTCATGTTGCAGTAGCTGAGCATAGCTTCATAGTGCTGAGACTTAACCTCTTGTGACCCAGAAGGCAATCTTAAGCTATCCAAGAGTAATAGATACAAGCTGAGAAAAACACTGGCATGTATAGAGCCAACAGAACTTGTATCCAGAATACAAAAATAATTGTTACAATAAAAGGCTAGACCACTAAATTAAATATGGGCAAAAGATTTGAATAGACATTTGGTCAAAACTATATGAATGAACTATAAATTATAGTACATACCCACTTGAATAGCCAAAATTTAAAAAAGGATGGCCATAATAAGTGCTGACAAGAATGTGGAACAATTGAAGTCTTATACATTTTGGTGACAATTTAAAATGGGACAAACTCTTTGGAAAGCATTTTGGCATTTTCTTAAATTCTTACATACAGCAGATCCTCAAATAACTATTGCATTCAGTGTTGTCTCATTATAACATTGATGAGAAAAAGCAGTCCTGGATGATGTAGCCTGCTTTTGTTCAAAGATCTGTTTTTTTGTTCTACCTCATTTTGTTTAAAGTTGCAGTTCCCAGCCCTCCCTGTGGCACAAGGGGTTAAAGTGCAGCACTGTGAAGCTATCTACAGCCACTGCAGCATGGGCTCAACCCCCAGCCAGGGAGGTGACTCACATGGCACAGCAGATTTTTTCTGTCCCACCCACTGCTCCCCAGAGCAGTATAGTTCAGTCAATCTGCCTGTTCTGCTCCCCACTCTTGTCTCTGGTGAATTCTCTCACCCCCTCACCTCTGGCCTGTACCCTAGTTCTTGTGTGCATAAATAAATAAATCTTTAAAAGAAAAAAGTTGCAGTTCTGGAAAACCTATCAATGATGTTAACTGAGAAATTGCCATACAGCTAGTTCACTTTTAAGAATTTACTAAAGATAAATGAAAGCAGAGAGCCACACAAAAACTTATACACGAATATTCATAGCAACTTTATTTGCAATGGCCAAAATCTGGAAATAACCTAAAGATCCATTAACTGGTGAATGACTAGACTGTGGTCCAGCCACACAATGGAATACTACTTGGCAACATAAAATAATGAGCCATGATACACATAAGACATGGTTAGTCTCTCAAACAGCAGATGGACCAGCTTGTTCTATTCACAAGATTTGGGGGATAAAGGGACACATTAAATCCAACCCTGCCCCTTAACTTTTTTCCATCCCCCCTTTGGGCTCCTCTCTTAGCAAGGACCAGTGACCATGGAAACTTTGGTTCTGACACTTGGTCACTGATTAAAAGATTGTGATGGTCACTTTCTACATCCAAATCTAAAGGTCTCTATAAACCAGCATGTACAAAGGGTGAAGATTTGGGTTAGGGATGGATAAAGTCCAGACCTGGAGGGCTGTGCCAGTTTCCTGTGGCTGCTATAGCTTAAAATAATGTAAATGTATCATTTCATGGTTCTGGAAGCTAGAAGTTTGTAATCAAGGTGTTGGCATGACCCTTTGAAGTCTCTAACAGAGGATCCCTCCCAGGTGTCTCCGGGCCCACCTACCTTGGCTCACCGTGGCTTGTGGCTGTATCACGCAGACCCTGCCCTGCTCTCCTTCCCCCTGTGTGCCTGTGTCTCGGCCTCTTTTCCTCTTCTTATACAGGCCCTTCCTAATCCACTGAACCTCATCTTAATTTAAGTAAGCACAGCACCCAGGACCCTACTTTCAAATTAGCTCACTTTCTGCAATTCCAGGTAGACATGAATTGGGGGGAACATACTGAATCCTACACAAGGGCTAGAATGCCAGATGAGCAGGGAGCATTCCCCTTGGGGTTATGGTGACCAAGGCAAGTATGTGGGCAGAAGTGGGTACCACCAGCTCTGAGGACCAGAGAGACCCCACAGCCTGGTGTGGGTTCAGTGTGCGCAGGGCAGTGAAGAGGGGATAACTCCGGAGGATCCAGGAAGACAGAAGCTCTGTGTGCCCAGAAAAGTGGCACTATGCACCCCAACTTGGGAGTTTTTACTTCACTGACATCTTAATCACTCAGGTGATTAGTCATAGATTTGGGGTAAAAGATGCAGAGATTCACACTCAAACCCGACTAAGATCTGATGAGACAACCACAGGTATTTTAGAGAGCACAGACATCAAACCTCAGTCTGTTTATTTGGTGAAGCCTCCAACCAAGGATCAGATCCCGCCCAGGAGCATGGGCTTGCTGGGCTCACGTGGCCCTGTACACCAGTGATGTCAGCCATGGAGTCGCAGCATTGGGCAGGACCCAGGTCTGTCCCTGCCAGGCCCCACATGCTGTGTGATACCAAACAACTGCCCTGATCCTCTGCTTCTTCCTCTGTAAAGTGGGTTCACAGTGAGTCTTTGATGGATGAGATGGAGAAGTGCCCAGACAAAAGAAGGCCAAGGACATTACCTCTCATTCTTCTTTCCCTCCTGGCCCAAAGGTCAGAGACCAGACTGCCTATGACGCACCAAACAGGGAGGGAGGCAGAGGACAGCTGGTATCCAACTCTCCAGGAGTTTCGAGTTTGCTCCATGACTTTGGGCAATTTGCCACCCCTTTCTATGTCTCAGTTTCCCTAGCTTAAAATGGGGTATAGAGGGCTGGACCTGAAGACCTCCATAATCTTTGCTAAGGTTTTGACAGTTCCAGGGAAAAAAAGGGGGGTGTTGTCTTTCTCAGACTCTAAACTTGGGTTTGGGGGTTTCCTATGTTGTCCAGAGGACACATTGTCTTGTAGGCAGAGGAAAATATGGCCTTTTAAAATTTATTTAAAGATTTATTTACTTACATATACAAGAACTGGGGTATAGTCCATAGGGGAGGGAGGTGAGAGGATTCACCAGAGACAGTTTGGGGAACAGAACAGGTAGACGGACCAAAATAAACTGCTGCGGGGAGCAGCAGGAAAAACAGGGGAGGTCTGCTGCGCCATGTGGGTCAGCTCCCTGGCTGGGGAGTGAACTCGTGCTGCAGTGGCTGGCGATAGCTTCTTAGTGCTGTGCTTTAACCTCTGTGTCACCAGGGAGGTCCCCAATCTGGCCTTTTGGGGCAGGGGACAGGAAGGGATACAGCATCTAAGACTAGGGGTTTTCAGGAAGCAGGGGGTTGGATAAAGTGCCCTCCTGGAGGCAGGGCTTTGCCTCTTCCCACAGAACTCTCACTGTAGTTCCATGTGCATATATATGACACACTGGCCCCTGGCGTGGGGTTGGCTACTGAGGTTCTGTCCCAGCTGGTCAGTCTTGCACTGGCCTGTGCTCAGAGGTCTGTCTCCTTCATGTCATGATCACCATCTTGTCCACGTCCAGCGGTGGAGGAACCAGGCCTCTTCACCTCCTTCTGCCTCAGGAAGAGCAGCTGTTCTTCATCAGCAGGCAGGAAGTCAGGGGGCCTCTTGGCTTTGGAGGTTAGTTCCTCAGCCCCCTGGGAAGAGAAGAAAAGAAAGATCCATCAGGGATTCCACTTCTTTGCCAAATTTTGAACTTCTGAAGGGGACACTGGAGGCTTGGAGGGTAGGGCCTGGGGAGAGTTGTACATATATCCCCATGTCCAGTACATCAGTCAATACTATCCTTTTGTCTCCAAAACCTCTTTTTACTTCTCTCCCCCACACCCAGGTTACCCACAATCCCAGTCATTAGTGCTTTGCAGGGATGCCTTACTCTCTCCTCTGCATCTCTTCAAGAAAACAAGTATTTGCTCATAGCAGCTATGAGTTTTAAAACATTTCAGGTAAATACCTTCACTTTCCAGCCCCCTTGAGCTCGTGGCCTCAGGACCTTTGCACATGCTGCAGCCACTAGAAAATGCCCTTACCTCAGATCTCCACATCACTGGTTCCTTTTCCTCATTCTAAGAAGCCACTCCATCACACTAATCAATTTTATTGTCTTCCTAATACTTATCACCTGCTTATTTTAATAAACAGGCTATTACTTGTTTCTGGGTTTATATTTCATTTCCTTTCCTCATTCTTGACTATGCAGTCAGGGTACACACAGGTGCTTTAAAAGTGAAAAAAAAAAAAAAAAGGTCTCCCTGGTAGTACAGGAGTTAAAGTCTCAGTGCTATCGAGCTATTACCAGCCATTGCAGCATGAGTTTGATCCCCAGCCAGGGGGGTGACCCACATAGCTTGGCAGACATCTCGTGTCATGCATGCTGCTCTCCTCAGCGTGTTTTTCAGTAGATCCACCTGTTTTGCTCCCCCTCTGTCTCTAGTGGATCCTCTCACCTCCTATACCTCTGGCCTACATGCAGTTCTTGTGTGCATAAGTAAATAAAAATAAATCTTTTAAATAATGAATCAGGAATTTCAAAACTGGATAGGCCTAATATCAGACCCCCTTCACCCCAAGACAATGTTTCCTAACTCAGGGGCATTCATACAGCAACCAGTGGGTTTTAGCTAAAGTTGGTCTACTACTTGTTGTGTATTTTATGTAAGATTTTCTCTAAATTGATTCACTTTTGAATTAAGTGATCATAAGGGGTCAGAAGGGATATTATAGCAATATCATAAAGGCAAACCAGTTTCATGTACCATAGATCAAAATTAATTGTAAAAACATAAATGATGAAAATGGAGAGTATTCTGCTCATTTCTTGTTAAAGGGAAAAACAGAAAGTGTTGGAGACACATAAATTCCCATTCAAGCATTTTTGCCTCTGGTGAGGCAAAAATGACTCACCAGAGCCCACCTCTGAGTTATGATCATGCCCCCAAGCTCCCAAAGCCACTTCTCTGACCTTCCCCCCACACCAGCCATGAGACTGACCTTCACCAAACTGTCACCCAGGGTGGCCACTTCTTCCTTAGTAGCCACTGATGCTGTTTGCCGCTCAAGATCCCACCACAGCAGCCCGGGACCCAGGGCACTACGTTTGGTGGGGCCTAGTGGGGCAAAGAAAAGTGGAGACATCTAGTGAAGTGACTTCTCTTTTTCTTTTTCCACTTCTCCAAGGGATTCAGAATTCTGGAATGAGTGCCCTGTGAATCCTGCCTTGACATGACATTTCAGCACCAGGGACAGCGCCCTGTATCCTTCAACAAGAACTTAGGGAAGGGACTAGAGGTTAGTAAGGTAAGGCTCACTTTCTATCTTTGCAAAATAAGACAACAGCTGTGAGGTGAATGTTGTCCTGAACAGGACACAGCACAAAGGATGCATAAGTGTCCTGTAAGCAGTGAACAGTTGGCTGAAGGGAGCATCCTTCCTCACCTTTCTCCTGGTGGGACCTAGAGGCAGACAGGGATGGAGAGGGCAGTCCCAAGGAGGCCAGTAGCCCTGCTTACCTGTCAGGCAACTGATGAAGGCTCCACATAAGACAGTGCTCAGTGTGCCCAGGGCACCATAATAGAGATAGGAGATGGCATAGAAACTGTCAGCTAAGGCTGGTCGACCAGAGTCCATTCTCGGGCTGGGGGTATGACAGGTGGGCATGAGTCCAAAAGCCACTCCCAATCCTTTCCCTCCAATCTCTACTTTATATCTTTATATATATATAAAATATATATAAACTATGATCCAACAATAAAAGCAAGTGACCAAAGGGTAAAAATGAGCAAAGACTTGGACAGATATTTCTTCAAAGAAGATGTGCAAATGGCCAACAAGCACAGGAAAAGGTCTTCAGTATCATTAGTCATGAGGGAAAGGCAACTGGAACCACAATAAGAGATCACTTTGTGCCCATGGGGATGGCTAGACTAAAAGAGGGAAAGTAACACAGATTTGTGGGAATATGGAGAAATGGACTTCTCATACACTGCTGATGGGAATGGAAAATGGCACAGCCACTGTGGAAAAGCCTGGTGGTTTCTCTCAATGTCAAATATAGATTTAATGTATCATTCAGCAGTTCCACTCCTAGAATTCCAAGAGAAAGGAAAACATGCCTGCATCAAAATTTGCCCACAAATGTTCACAGCAGCACTAATCATGATAGTCAAGAACCAGAATCAACCCAAATAGACATCAACCACGAAGGGGCAAAGAAACATGTGTTATACATTTAATGGAATTATTATTCAGTTACAGAAAGGAATGGAGCACTGAGACATGCTACAATGTAGGTAGACCTTGAAAACATCACCTGAGTGACAGAAGCCACATATTCTATGATTCACTTATATGAAACATCTAGAAGAGGCAAACCCATAGTCAGGAAATGGATTAGTGGTTACCAAGGACTGGAGGAAGGTAGAAATGGGAGTAACTGCTTTGAAGTGATGAAAATGTTTTTGAGTTATGTAGTGATGATGGCCATATAATCTTGTGAATGTACAGTCATGTGTCACCAAACAACACATGGCCACTTATGCCAAGGTAAGTCCCAGTAGGCCGCACCATGTAGCCTAGGTGTGTGATGGGCTGTGTCCTGAAGGTCTGTGTGACTACACTCTAAGACGTCAATACAACAATGAAATTGTCTAAGTGACACGTTTCTCACACTGTGCCCCCGATATTAAGTGATTCATGACCTAAAAAACCACCTTTAAGTGACTAATTTATGGTCTATGAAATATATTTTACTAAAATAGTCAGCCCAAATTTCTGCTTGGACTTTATCTCCTATTCTTTTTTTTCCCCCTTAGGTCTACCCCAACCTCTCCATAGCCAAAATTCAGTACACTGAACCTACCTCGGGGCCTTTGCACAAGCACTTTTTACCTGGTTAGTAGGATGCCTTCCCCTCAGACCAGCCCTCTTACCTCGGGGCCCAGTCAGACACATTGAGTGTGAGGGGCACGCTCAGGAGGTTAGAGGCATTGGCTGAGGGCACCATGCAGCTGGTGGCCGAGGATGGCAGTACCCCCATGGACTGCGCACTGGGTGGGTACAGAGTGGCGCCCAGGGCCACCCACAGTGAGAGCGCCAATCCAGCAGCCAGCCCAGAAAGGACACCCTGGGAGCAGAGCCAGAGTCAGCTGATGGTGTATCAGGTCATGTGCCTCCTCCATTCCCGGCCTGTCCCTCCCACCACCTACTCACTGACGTGTTGCAGGCTGGGATGAACATCCCCAGGATGAAGGCTCCAAGGAGGGGACCGCTGATGACTCCCATGACGGTGAAGGAACCCTGAGAGGTGGGGAAGGTGTGCTGAGGGTGGAGCTGTCCCACCTCTCTTGCCTCAGTTTACCTACTGGGAAAGATCTGAGGAATTCCACTATGGGACTTCAGATTTCTCTGTGTCTTGACTTCCCTAAAGGGAAGGGTATTCCTCAACAGAAGGCAAAGATGTTGCTCTTTCCTGGCTAATGTGGTCCAGTCTCCAAGCCAGGTAGCCCTCCTTCCCACTAGGTCACTGCAGGAAGTATCTGGTTGGTGGAGTCAGACAAAATCCAGTTCTGCCACCAACACTATGAGCCCCCTTCCAAGTGTGTGATACCCCAACACTCAAAATGGGGCAGGTGGGGCTGGGAGCTTACCTGGAGGACTCCGCCCCCCAGCAACGATGACAGAGCTGCCACTGTGAGACAGGCTGATCCATAGATGAGTGCTATAGTGGGTGGGGGTGGCATTGTCAGCAGGAAGAGGCTGCCTTGACCCCCCCGACCCCACACTCCCCAACTCACAGAGCCCCTTGGAGATGAGTATGAGTCTCTGGGGTGTCAGGCTAGGCATCTGCAGTTTGATGAGGTCCTCCACTGTGACCGCGGCCATGGCATTAATGCTGGTGGATGCAGTGCTGGGGGCGCAAAGCCGGGGTCTGCAGCCACATGGAGACACTGGCCACTGCCAGTGCCATCTGGCCTGCCAGGATGCCAGCCAGCCAAGGGCAGAGGTGTGGTGACCCTCATGAAGAAAGATGTCACATCCTATTCCAATCCTCCAGACCTTAGACACCTCCATAGAAGCAAAGCTACCCTCGACCAAGGATCAGAATGACAAAAGCAATAATGGGGCCCAACGAACTGTCCTGTGGGACTCTGGTTCTAGGAGGAGCAGGGTGTGGCCAGAAGCCCAGGAGACTTCAAATGACCAGAATATGGGATCCCCCAAAGGCAGCAGTGGGAGACTGCTTAGTCATGGTGTGACCTAGGAGTTAGAATAGCACTACCTGCCACATAGTGGGTATTCAACAAACACTTGCTTTGGAGAAGAAGAAAACAAGGAAGGGAGGGAGAGGAGTCAGGTGTGACCGTGTGGCAAGAAAATACAGACCTCACCATTGGGGACCCTATGCCCAGAGGATGCCCTCTGCTGGAGTCCCCGAGAGCTGCCCACTGGAGATGACACAAGCACTGTAAATAATGGGCATACCCAGAACATTCTATCCAGAAGGGGGATGATCAGTAGAGACAAGGAAGCTCAGGGGGCTCAGCAGTAGTGGGGTGAGCAAGCAGGGTGGCTCACCTGAGGGTGCCACTGTAGGCACAGGCCAGGAAGAGCCCCGGGATTCCAGGCAGGCCCTTGAAGATGTCCAGCACCATCAGGGGCATGTACTGGGGGGAGTCAGAGGTCAACTTCCTGAAGTAGCACCCCAAGAGCAGGGCTTTCTGTCTGTTCTCACCCTGCATGTCCCCTGTGCCCAGGGCAAACTGGGCTAACAGTGGACATTCAGTGTGTTTATTGAGTGACAGCTTGCACCTGAGCCCTCCTGTGTGCCAAGCTCTGGAATGCCAGCGAGATAGGGGCCCGTGTCATTCTGACTTTACTGTTGAGGACAGTAAGGCTGAAAAGACTCAGAGCCCACCTAAGGTTGCACAGTCAGTGGTGGCCAGGGGCCTGACAGGAGAGGTGGCGAGGAGAGGACAGTGGATGGGGTGGCCTTGCAGCCTCTGCACACTTTGAACTCTGAAGTCAGTGCTCCAGCCACATGTCATCCAGACAAGGACACTGCTCCTGACTTGCCTTCAGGCCTCAGGCATTTAGTCCCCAACCCCTTCAACCTCCGTTTCCTCATCTGTGAAGTGGGGGCCATGACAACCTTGGCCTCAGTACCTGTTGATGGGAAACAAACTCCTTTTGGGTGGAACAGCATGAAGCACAGAGTAGGTGCTGGTCCTTACTGACATGAGCACCATCATTTCATGCTGGATGACGGCCCCAACTCCTGGATATCCCTCAGGGGGTCTCTGGCTTGAGACTTGAATGTGCCCCTCTCTGCTCACATATCCCCTAGTGATAACCCATAGCCTCCTGGCCTCATCTTTTCCATGCCATGAAGGTCTTCCTCTGAGCCAAGGTCTTCTCTGTCTCTAGATCTTTACACAGCTGTTCTGTTAGGAATGCTCTTCCACCCTGACTTTCAAAGTTTCAACTATTCAGAAGGTCAGAGTAGGGTGTGGGCGTAGACTAGGAGCCTGGGCCAAACTCACCTGGTCAGGGGCAGAGATACGCCCTGAGAGGAGAGGGTCACAGTCAACGTAGAGTGTGAACATCACAATGCCACAACCAGCGGCGCTGGACACAATCAGGAACAGGCCCAGCTGGTTGATGAGCAAGGCCCTAGAAGACGGGCAGCCTCAGGGTGGGGAGAAGGGTAGGCAGTACCCCTCAGAAGCCCATACCCAGCCCCTCCCAAACACTCACAGCTTGGCCTCCTTCTCCGTTCGACAAGCAACATAGCGCTGCACCTGTGCTTGGTTCACGCCATACATTGAGAGCCACACCAGTGTGCCGCCCACCACGAAAGTCCAGAACGTGTAGCGTCTCCTTGGGTCCAGGTCGAAGCTGGATGAAGACAGAGCAAGTCAGCCATGTACCACAGACTCCAAGCTCCTAATGGCCCCATTCTAGACCTTATGGGAACAACTGGGGTGGGTTTTGAGGTGTAGGCGTTTGCCGTATTGAAAATTAATTTGTTTGTTTACTAAGTCATCCATGTATGCATCTAAAACCCATCACTTTTGTACCCAGCTGAGACCTTGGAGAGGTTTCAGCCCCCAGTCTGGGCTGGAACCTAGGGTAGGGCAGAAGTCTGGACCAGATAGAAAGATCGGGGGTGGGTAGAGGAATTCAGAGGAGAGCCAGGTTTGCTGGATAAGGAGGCTGGGGAGAGAAGGAAGGCGGGTGTCTGGAAGGGGGAGGCATTGGTTGGCTTCTTCCATGACAGAGGGGTGCCAGCTGAACCCTTTTTAGTGCCTCTTGTACATTTTGCTTACTCCATCAAGTTGATCCGGGAGTGGTTCTGGGCAAGCTCCAGCACGTACTGCCCTCCCCCCACAAGCATGGCCCCTCGGGCCAGGATAACCCAGAAGCCAGCCAGCATCACTACCACCTGGAACACGTCAGTCCAGACCACAGCCTTCATGCCGCCCTGCAAATTGTGTTGGAGAGAGAGAGGGTCAGAAGGGGACCTGTTTGGGGCCTGTGGGGCAGGGCGGAAAAAGGGGTTAGATGGGGAAACCTGCCTGGAGCCCACCCAGCTTGGCCTCCAGCAGTGGCTGAGATGGATGCCCCTCTCTGCCTGTTTCCTCATCTGTAAAATGGAATTAATAATCATACCTCCTTTTGGTGGTGTTGTAAGGATTACATTAGTTAATAAAAGACTATGCAACAGAACAGGGCTACCACATTTCTTCTGGGGCTAGACATTATTGTCAAAAAATATGGCTCAGGAAGTAGCCGCTGCCGTTACTATTATTATTACTACTATTGTCGTTTTTACCTACCCAAGCCTTTACCTTCCTGTGGCAGAGCCTGGAATCTTCCTTTGAAGAAGCCCCTCCCCTTCTCGCTGCACATTCTAACCAAGCTGACCCCTCTAGCTAAAAGAACAGCTGATAGTGCATCCCAGCCCCACTGGGGATGACTTATCCTATGTGACAGGCAGAGCTAGACAAACAAAGCACTACTGGAACTTTCGGCAACCCCTGCCCAAACAGGGCCTTTCTGCTGAACCTGAAGTCAACAGAGGTGGAAGCCCCGATGGGACCCCAAGGGATGGAAGACAGATCCAGAGATACTGTGGCCCCTGGATCCACACAGACCTGAAGTTAACATCTTCCTGGACTCTCAGCAAAAAGTCTTTCAAATCACCTTTCATTATAAAGATGAGGAAACCCTGGTGCCTGGGTTTCCTCAAGAGGAAATGAAAGTCCATGCCCAGATTCACCCCCACCCAGTGAGCATAGAGCCCCCACATGAGCTGGATGGGGGACACTCACCACAGTCGTATAGAAGGTGCAGATGGCTCCGGTGGACAGGAGCGATGCCCAGATGTCTAGGCCAGTGACTGTGCAAGAACATCCGACCCCATTAGGCCGTGGAGAGGTAGCAAACCGGAACCAGCCTCTGGGGCCCTTCCCCCTAGTATTCTTGCCTCCCAAGTCTCTCCTGGAGCTACCTTTCCCCCACCCCCAAGCTTCTAAGCCTTTGCCCCCTTCCCAGACACCCTCCCTTGCTCTCCCCACATCAAACCCTGGTTCAGGATGAGTGCCGGTGCGTATATGACGATGCCAGTGTACAGCACCTGCAGGTAGGGGTGGGGGCCGGTGAGGGTCACCTTCTGGAGTGAGGGACTGAGAGCTGGGGGAAAGAGCTAGGTCCCAGCAAATGAGTTGGGCCGGATGGATGGGGCCATGCAGGTAGGGGTAGGATCAAACACAAAGACTGGTCAGTGGGAGGGGTAAGGAGGAGGAGGATGGTGGACCAGAAGGGCAGGATGGGGGTGGGGTCTTGTAGGGTCGGCTGGCTCCACCTCAACCAGGATGGAGGCAGAGCCAGAGGCTTGTGCTTGGGGGTGGGAGAGTGGGGGGAGGAGGGTCTTGTCCTGGCAGTGCAGAATGAGGAAGATTTGTGACCAGTAAGGGCGGAGGCCAAGGCCACTTACCGTGGCTACCAGGTACTGTAGGGTCCCGCAGAGTCGCACAGCACGGCTGAAGCGCAGCTCCAGGTACTGCAAGGAGGAGCCCAGGGATGAAAGTCCCCTGGGCAGGTCCTAACCAGAGTCCTGAGGCCTCGGAAGCCCTCCCCTGCCCTCTAGATGTCTGCCTTCTCTCCGGAAGCCAGCTGAGCTTTCCACACTCTAACCAGTGAGGCCTTGGTCATGCACACACCCCCGACCTGTCCGCACACACCTGTGCACCGCGCCACATCCGCAATGTGCACGCGTGTACGGAGAGGATCGATGGATGCACCACGTGTGCAGAGGCTTTCCTGCCATCGCTGGTGTCTTAGGGGCCCCTGGAGTGGCCACAGTTTTGAGAATTTGAATGAATCAACAAAGGTGGTGCCATCTTTTGTAACTGGCCAGCTACTGTAAGCCAAGAATTTTAATCACTTTTCCAGCTCTCTCTTAGTAGGGTGTGAACTTTGGGAAACCTCCACAGAGAGCCACACCCCTTGCCTATGGCAGTGGGCAGAGGCGTAGGGCTTAGCACTGGGATCTGGCTGCTGTGCTGGCTGCCAGCACACATGTCCAGGCAGGTACCGGGCAGGAGTGTGCCTGTCTACAAGTGAGAACTGATTAAGCCTGACCCTGGCCCTGGCTGGCTTCCAAGGAAGAGAACCAGGATGTGCCCTCCTCTCTTCCTCCTTCTTGCCTCTTACCCTACTGCCTGCAGCCACTTCCCAGAATCTTTCCCCCCACCCCCCTGCCCAGATGCCTGGGGGTGGGGGGGGGTGGAGAGGCTCCTGGGAGCACCTAGGCGCTCTCCTGCATAGCCCTGGACACAGGACCCGCCTGCACTCTGGGTCCAAAGCCAAGGCAGGTTCTGACCCCCGCGCTTCTATCCCCTACCTGGTAGGTGCTGGTGAGGCCCAGGCGGTAGAAGACTGGCAGGAAGAGTGCTGCGGTGAGCAGGGAGTTGAGCACCTGGCCCAGGCACATCCAGAGGAACTTGAGGCCATAGCGATAGGCCTCCGCTGGCACCCCCAGCACCTGCACTGCTGACATGAAGCTGGCAGCCAGAGAGAGGCCAATGGGCAGGGCTGTCAGGTCACGGCCCCCTGTGAAAAAGTCCTCAGCGCTGCGCTGCCTGCCCCTTGCCAACCCAACCCACAGCCCAATGCCCGTGGACACCAGCAGCATAAGGGCAAACACCCCATAGTCCCAAGCTCCGAAAGTGGCGTGGGCTTCCGCTTTGAGATCAGCCATGAGATGCAGGTGCAGGCTCCAGGTGCGTGTGAGGGTGAGGGAAACTGGCAGTGGCTAGGCAGGCAGGACCGCAGACATGGGAGGATGCTCGGTCTCCCCAGGCAAAGCCACGTCTCCTCGGTGCCAAACTCAGTGAAAGGGGCCCAGGTGGAAGCCAGAGCCCCCAAGGCAAAGGCTCTGTGGCTCCTCACTGCGGTAGCTGGCCTCTACACTGCCTTCACCATCTGTCTGTCCACGTCGCCTCCCACTCAGTGTGGCTGCCCTGAGCACCCGCCTGTCTGCACTGGCCGCCTGTCCTTCTCTGGGCCAGCACTGACAGCTGGAAGTCTCTTTGAGACTTAAGTCTCTCTGTGGCAGCCCCAAGCGGCAGAGGCGAGGCGGGCTGTGGATTTATTGAGCTCCTCTAAGCAAAACTCCTCCCCCAGACTTAGGGGCGGGCAGGACCCACACCCTTTCCACCCTGGACTGGGCCAGACAGTCCCCAACAGATCACAGTGGGTGGTTGCTGGGAGGCAGGTGTGGAAGCTCCCAAACACCCCCTTGCTGAGGCATATTCTCTGTGATCACAAGCTCAAAGCTGGCAAGTCACTGGGATGCCACACACCTGGGAGCTGTGGTCCAGCATTCCAGTACCAGCTGTACTTTTGTCCCGTGAGCTCCAGAATGCGGCTCATTTTCATGGTTGGAATCTGGTAAGGGAAAACCACCCCATTTAAATGCTGCTACTCCTAGCCGCACCTGGACCCACCCCCATCCTCTAGAGCCCAGGGAGGGAATCACTAAAAACACCTTCCTCCCATCCTCATGCTGTTATTTGGTGGGGGGGGGCTTACCATGACCATGAATCCTCCCCAAAGGAAACTCCAGGAAGGTAATGTCTGCCAAAACCTTATTATACAAACAGGGAAACTGAGTTATGAGACCTGGGTCACCCAAAGGTCCAGGAAGTGTCATCTTGGAGTCCTTTGCTGGTAGGCCAGCAGACTTTGGTCTCTGGAAGCTCTCAGTTCAAATCTTTGACTTGACCTGTTGACTGAGAAAGGGGTTGAGTTCTAAAAGGTAACCTGAAGCCCTCCCTGGTGACACAGGGATTAAATCTCAGTACTATGAAGCTCTCACCAGCTACTGCAGCATAAGTTAGATCCCCAGCTAGCCAGGGGGGTGACCCACATGGCACAGCAGACCTCTCCTGTCTTGCCTAGTGTTGCCCTCAGCAGTGTATTCCAGTAAATAGACCTGTTCCGCTCCCCGCTGTCTCTCGTGAATCCTCTCCCTCACTGCCCACACTCCACCCTCAGGCCAAGAACCCAGTTCTTGCATGCATAAATAAATGTTACAAAAAAAAAAAAAAAAGCATGGAGTGCTGGCATCAGGTCCTCCAGGGTCTCTGCTGCCCCCTGGTGGCCTTCTCTAGCCTGCACTCAACACCCCACCAGGGTTCTGACTCCTCAGGCCAGGGAGTCTCATTCCGTACTCTGCCCCTCCTCTGGGGCTGACACTGGATCCTTTCCTGCTGTGTGGGGGAGATGGTCCATGCTGCAGACTGAGGGCAGGCCTGAGGCCCATTCTTTATGTCCTGTGCTGGCACCCAGGATGCAGGGAGAGGAACCCTAGGAGGTGAGCACACCCACCCACCCACCCCCACCCAGAATTAGCCAGGCTTGCAGGGAGCTGGAAAGGGACTTCAGGCCATGGTAACTTCAGGTGCAAAGGTACTGAAGTGGGAAGAGCAAAGGTATATTCTGGAATGAGGTTCACCAGGGAGCTCCCCAGAGTTGAAGGGGTGTGGACTTTGTTCTGAGAGTGGTGGGAAAGCCATTGGGAACTGGAACAAATGACTAGTAAATTTGATTCTGGGCCCTCCCTGGTGGCGCAATGGGTTAAATAAAGTGCAGCACTACAAAGCTACTGCAGCTGAGTTTGACCCCCCTCACCCCCCATCCCAAGTTGCTGGTTCATGGCCAGACCTCTCCTGTCTTGCCTGCTGCTCCCCTCAGCAGTGTATTTCAGTAGATATGCCTGTTCTGCTCCCCACTGTCTGGTGAATCCTTTCACTCCCTGCACTTCTGGCCTGTACCACAGCTCTTTGTGTAAATAAATCTCAAAATTTTTTGATCCTTAAAACTTCACCATTGTCTTCAACTGGGGCTGCAGAGTAAGTGCAGATTCTGAACAGGCTCTGAAATTCCAACACAAAGCATGGCACTGGCCCTACAGGGTGGGCAATGTTGGATGGGGGCTTGGGCAGGCAGTAGGATGGAAACTTAGAGGCCCTCCAGGATGCCAGTTTTCAATGGGAAGGTGAAGGCTGGGAGGGAAACCCCAGGATGAGCAGATTGAGACCCTAGATACTACCCCTCCCCTCCCATCAGTGGGGGAAGCAGGTAAAGTGACTATCTGTAGCTGCAAACTAGAATCTAAGGTTAAAATGTGGGGATCCTGTCTGCATAGGATGAAGTGCAGCCCTAGTACAGTATTGCTGCCTCCACCCTGCAGGCCACCTGGCTACCAGTCCTCCCAATGCCACCCTCCACCTCGGGCAACTATGGTACTGCTGCCTTGCATGCTATGAAGCCTCTATCAGTGGTGCTGCCCCAACTGATTGTCTCCCTGGCTCCAGGATCTGGGTCAGGCCTCCCACACACCCCACCTTGCCTTGGAGCCTAAGTGAGATGCAGAATAGGTCCCACCCACCTCCCAGTCCTGCCCAGGAAATGGCACCCAAGCATGGAGCCCTATCCTCACCCTTGGGCTCTCATGAGCTTGAACAAGGGCCCCTCTTCCCCCTGGGCCCCAGCTGACCCAGAGGTGAGTTAGCAATCCCTGTGGTTACCTTGAGTTTCAGAGCCATGTGGAAGGGCCCTCTCACCTACTAGCCTGGCTTCTTACTCTTATTGGTCCCCAAAACCCTGCCATCCCTTTGGAGAGGGCTCAACGCAGTAGGCATCACCCATCAAGAGCAGCTTGAGGGAATTAGGTGGGTGACTAGACAGTATGGTATCTATGGGCCAAATTCTGAGCCATTGGCAGGCCTAGAATTTATATCCCAGACTGGGGGATAGGTAGTCTTGGAAATGTGTAGTGTACCATCTTTGGGGAGGCCAACCCACTGCAACTAGAACACGTGCAGGTCAGGAAACCGGGCTCACACAGTTGTAGTTCATGAGTTCCCCAATCAAGACCAACTCACAGCTGATAAGCTGACAGGCATGCTTTGGTGGAGAAACAAGGTTGGCCTTTGTGGGGCCCAAGCCTTTCCTGATAGTGCATTCCCCTGGGCCCTCAATGATGACCACAGTCCCCCTATCCCATACTACTTCACAGGAATTTAGGACTAGTGAGCAGACAACAGCCGAGACCAGGGTCAGCTTCAGGATGTATCACACATGAACAGCAGGCAGGGCTGGTGTTTCCTTCTCTCTTTGTTCTAGTGAAGCCCAAGACAGGGAAGGCCCACCAGTCAGAAGACTAAGATCCTTCTGGTTTATTACTTCATCGTGGCTTCCTCTAGGCCTGGCTGGGCTTCAGGAACATGAGCTGTTGTGCCATAAAAGCACTTTCTGAAAATGGCACATTACTACTGTATCAGTCACACCTGAGAGGATAGCAAATGATTTTTTCTAAGTGGCACCTAACTTTTGTTCCTGAAGAAGTCTAGAGTAACCAGAAGTTCCTGTCAGAAACCTCTGAATATTAATGAGATAAACTAGGTAAAAACTTAAAGTTGATCCAGTGTTCTAGAATAAAAGCACCTATAACACAAAGAACCTTATTTTTCAAGCTTTTGTCTACCCAGGTAAAGATTTTATGACCACAGTTCAAAGAGAAACTAAATTTGTAAGAATGATTTCTTAAAGTCTTCCACAGAAAGATGAACTCAAACTCCTATAGTTGTCAACCCAGTGTTGGCAAGGCTGCTGGGAGATGCATGGGCACATAAACGAGGTGGCATTTGGTGCCAAAATCAAGGCTGGCCCAGAAATTTCTATTCCAGTCTGGAGGGGGTGGGGATGGGCACAAGACTCACCAAGTCACGGTAAGATGTGTAGCTTACCGAACTCGGGGAGGCCAATCTGGTGCAGCTTGGTCCCAGCGACTAGCAAAACCCACCCCAGGTGCTCTTGTGAATAGCAAGCACAGGTGGGATATGAAATTACCTGATTTCCAAGAAAACAGCCAGGTAGATCATTCCTGCCTGACCTTCAGTATCAAGAGTTTTGCCCACCTGCCTCCATCCCCCACCCTCCTGAATGACCTGTGTCCTGTCTCCTGCAGTCAATGTGGCTGGTGCCCTGAGCTTAAGAGGACACAGGTCAGGGCTGCCCAGGTTGCACAAAATGAGGCTCCAAGGTGTGAGCCCTGAAGGGTCAAGCAGGGCAGTTACCCCCAGGGTGGGATTAGCTTCATGCCTAGAATTCCCAGACCACAAGTGTTTAGAGACAGAAGCCTGCAGTGAAACTGTGTGTCTGTAGATGGGATTAGGGAATTTGATTCAAGGGCCCCCAGTGGGGGAAGGGATAACCAGATGAGCAGGATGGTGGCCTCTGGGACATCCCCTTGTGTCTGCACTGAGGACAGACTCCCTAGTAGGCCAGATGGGCAGGCCCAAATGGAACGACCACCTGCCATCCCCATTTTCCCTGGGGTCCAGGCTATTAAACATTTCACCAGCAGTTAACAGCAGTTAACAGTTGAGTGGTAGTAGAGGCTGGAGTTGAGCCTTCACCATTCATGGGGTTCTCCTCCTGGACAATCAGGTGCCTGTGCTCTACTTCAGGAGAGGGCCCCCCCAACCTGAAGCAGACAACTCACAGCTTGACTGCACCCTTTTGAGTTCTGCAGGGCATGCAAAGAAAACAGTGTATGTGAGCACCCAGGTTCCTGGGATTTTATTTGTGCAGTGCCAGGATGGAGAGGGCTTTGCATCAATTTAAAAGAAGGTGTTGGGCCTCTTGGTGGTGAAGCGTGGTTTGTGCTGGCGACGCAGGACCCGGTGGGGCAGTGGGAACTTGATCTTCGAGTCCTGTGATAAGGAGAGGAGGGTGAGAGAGGTGGAGGCCTTTTAACCTCACGCTCCAGGGTCACTGAGGTATGGCCGACCCCCACTAGACTCCTGCGTCAGACCTGGTGACCCCCCGCCCGGTGTGTCCCAGAGCACTCACGTGGAACTGCTTGACTGCGGGCCGGCGGCATTTGCTTGCAGCGATCTCCTCCACCTTCATGATCTGGATGGAGTGGGCCCTGGCGCGGTGCCGGGCGCCCATATCTCGGTCTGCATGGGGCCGAGGGAGCAGGGTGAGTGTGAGGTCAGTGTTTTGTATTCCCCCAACTTCCCACCAAGTGCCCACTGGAGAGGAGGCCCATCTCCAGGATGAATGACTA